AATGCCGATCAGTTTGCATAATTTTGAATTCTCCTAAAAGAAAAGGGGAACAATGGAACATTACATGAACGCATAATTTGCAAATTTTTGTCACGTAAAGCGATGTGAAGACCTCGACGTGCTTGTTGTAAAGATATTGCTTAATCGAAACGTGAATTACTATTATGTCATTTGTAAAGGGACAGTTTTGCCAATCAAAAAATGTGTAACATTGATCATTTGCAATTCACAAATCTATAGGTCCATTTCTCTTGTTACAGTGAAAATACCGCAATGGGAGATAGGGTTGAACCTGTACCGTCAAACATTCCTAGTCCAGATTTAGTTGGTGTAGCCATAGACCGACCGCCCCAGTTGCAACACCAACAGTCATCAGTATGGGTACGAAGACAACAGGCCGTGTGCGTACGCCATGCTTTTAAAACATACGGATCAAAAAAGAATCCTAATCATGTACTTAGCAATCTCAACATGACAGTTGCCAAAGGAACAATGTAAGTTAATTGAAAAATGGCGAGGTTCTTACAAAACCAAACTTTTCCAGATATGGTTTACTAGGTGCATCTGGTTGTGGTAAAACTACTTTGTTATCGTGTATAGTCGGTAGGCGTAGACTAAATACGGGAGAGATATGGGTGTTGGGTGGAAAACCGGGTACGAAAGGTTCGGGGGTTCCCGGAAAGAGAGTGGGATATATGCCACAGGAAATAGCTTTATATGGAGAGTTTTCGATTAGGGAAACGATGATGTATTTCGGATGGATTTTTGGCATGGGGACATCCGAAATAAACGAACGATTACAATTTTTGCTCAACTTTTTAGATTTGCCCAGCCAAAGTCGTTTAGTCAAAAATTTGAGGTAAGGTCCATCCAAACTTCCACATAGGATTAACGGTTTGCGATTTTCAGTGGTGGTCAACAGCGTAGGGTTTCCTTCGCCGTGGCGCTTATGCATGACCCCGAATTGTTGATATTGGATGAGCCCACAGTTGGAGTTGATCCTTTACTTCGGCAAAGTATTTGGAATCACTTAGTACAAATTACAAAAGATGGAAATAAAACTGTTATCATCACCACACATTACATCGAAGAAGCCAGATCTGCTCACACTGTAAGTAATCAAGCAAAATTGTTAATCTACTAAGACGTATTATTCTCCAGATAGGACTAATGCGCTCAGGCAAACTTTTAGCAGAGGAGTCACCGCATGTTCTTTTATCAATGTATGGATGCCAGTCGTTGGAAGAAGTGTTTCTGAAACTTTCCAGAAAGCAAGGACAAACTAATAACACTGCGGATTCCAATATTAGTAACAATATTAGTCTAGCAACTATGAACTGGGGCAAGAAAGATTCGATCTCTGTTACCGAGGAAAGCGGAGTTGTAGGCCTTAATTTCCATCAAAGTAAAGAAGTACTGTTACAAGACGGAAGTCTCTTAGAGGTACCACTTTACTCTACGCGCATCGGTATTGCTAATGAATATTTTAGATAAATGGCGGAACATCACTAACACCACCAAAGTCACCTACCACTGAATCATGTGATAATTGCTCTGATTGTTTGCACATTACCACCGTGGGAAAAATGCGAGCGTTACTTCAGAAGAACTTTTTAAGAATGTGGAGAAATGTGGGAGTTATGTTGTTCATCTTCGCGCTACCCGTAATGCAAGTGATTCTGTTTTGTATGGCTATAGGCAGAGATCCTACCGATCTGAAACTCGCAATCGTTAATCATGAAATGAGCTACGTCAATATGTCATATCAAAACTGTAAATATCAGCCGGGCTGCAAGTTTAGCAATCTCAGCTGCAGATATCTAGAAAATTTAAATAATAACACAATACATAAGCTGTATTATCCCGATCCAGAATCGGCGGTCGATGCAGTTAGGGAAGGGAACGCTTGGGGTGCACTTTATTTCACGGAAAACTTTACCGACGCGTTAGTGGCGAGAATGGCACTGGGAAAGGATGCAGACGAAGAGACCTTGGACCAAAGTGAAATACGGGTGTGGCTAGATATGTCCAGTAAGTTACCAGTGTATGTAAATTTATTGAGACTAACGCTTCTTTTACAGATCAACAAATCGGTGTCATACTTCAAAGAGATCTGCAGCTTTCGTATCAAGACTTCGCCAGAGAACTCCTAAAGTCGTGCAACCAAAATCCCAAGATTGCTGAAATTCCTATTTCGTTCAAAGAACCACTTTATGGATCCACGGAACCGTCCTTTACAGACTTTGTTGCTCCAGGTGTAATTTTAACGTAAGTATCTTTTTAATTTCAACGACGATATACTGATCATTCGATTTTTAGCATTGTGTTCTTCTTAGCTGTAGCTTTGACTTCATCGGCGTTGATTATCGAGCGTATGGAAGGTTTACTAGATAGATCCTGGGTTGCTGGTAAGTTACATCTATGCGAGCTTGCGCTGACTCACATTTGTTCATTTAAAGGTGTTACTCCGGCCGAAATTCTATTTTCACATGTGGTTACGCAATTCGTAGTTATGTGTGGTCAAACGGCTCTAGTGTTAATATTCATGATTTTGGTTTTTGGCGTGGAATGCAAGGGAGATATCGGATGGGTCATAGTTTTAACGATTCTTCAAGGGCTGTGCGGAATGTGCTTTGGTTTTGTAATTTCAGCAGTCTGCGAGTTGGAAAGAAACGCTATACAGCTCGCCCTTGGCAGTTTTTACCCAACATTACTACTCAGTGGCGTTATTTGGCCAATTGAAGGAATGCCAACAGTCCTTCGTTATATATCTACGTTTTTACCGTTAACGTTGGCCACAACATCGCTTAGATCAATTTTAACAAGAGGATGGTCTATTGTAGAAAAAGACGTTTATTTAGGTTTTATTTCAACGACGATATGGATTGTACTGTTTCTTACGATAAGTTTATTGGTTTTAAGGTTTAAAAGAGGATGATATGTTTGCGGACAGATTTTTTGTATGCGGTGCTGACTATGCATACAGTTTTGTACCTATTTGTAAAATAATAAATATTGGATGACTTATTTAATTTTTGAGCATTTTAGTTAATTTATAATAAATATGTTTTAATATGTTATTCTTTTCTTTACGGGTAACTCTTTTTTTAGTGAATCGTTTACCAATGTTTCCTGTCAAACTCATGGCCCCCTCTCATAAATTAGCAACGAATACTTGAATCTATCCCTGATCGTAAAATAGATTTCTTTTATTTAATCCAAGACTATCATCCGAAAACTTCACCAGGTCATTCAATGATCAGGTATAAATATTATGGATTTGTAATTATCTGTCCACCTTATCAGCAATATGAAGTTATACAGGGTGTTTCCAAATTCGCGCATTCGGACTATGGGATGGTGTTATACGACAAAAACTGAACAAAAAGTTCCTCTACCAGTTTTCCAGCAGATCGCTATTTTTCGAGCTACCACCGTTTTAAAAATCTCTGCCCCCCTACGCTGCGCACTGGTTAAACTTAATAATAACACATTTTTAAAAACAAAAGAAGGTTCAAAATAAACTATAATTATGACGAGTACGTAATTACAACAGTTGTTCAAACGTCGATTATTCAAGCCTCAAGTGGCATCAGCATATCGTAATATTTCCGATTTGAATAATTACCGGCCATTATTTCGCAATTTGAATTGTACGATAATTACAGTAAATTGATTTGAACTATCTTTTGTTTTCGGGCATTTTCATTTTCTGATTTTTCGAACGACAACTCGAAAAGTGCCGGTCTGGTCAAAAACTGGTAAAGGAAGTTTTTATTCAGTTTTCGTTGTATAACACCATCCCACAGTCCCTGTGCGCGAATTTCGAAACACCCTGTATAGGAACGAACATCGACGTATGTTATATTAGGTTGTAGTACAGAATAGTGCCCCCACGTCCCCCAAATTGAAATGTACACTCTTAAATTACTTGCCTGTCCCCGCAAATTTTTTGTGTGCATTTTGTGACATCAAGTCATGACCTCTTTCATTATTATATTTATTTTCAATCTTAAACTGAATATAAAAACGTGCCCTGAATAATACAATAAATTATCAAGAATGATGAATACAACTGTACCTTTCCGGTTTTTCTGCTATTGAATGTTTGTGATAATAACTTCATGTCGATTTGCTGCGTTCTCTGTTTTTGCAAAAATGCCATTTGCAATTACACCTTAATTTAATATAATAATATTAATAAGAGCAAGGATAGTTTAAAACGTCACATTTTATCACAGTACTTTCAAAAATATTAAATGTGATCCGTGCACGTTGAGTAGTGGTTTGGATTAATCTTGTAAAGTTGAGCGTTTTGTAGACAAATTGGGTTTGAATATGCTACACATTTGGAATTTTGAGTTGAACAATGTCAATAAATTACGCTACAATTGATAACGTGTGCCTAAAGCGTCACATATTAACACAACCTTCTCAAAAATTTGATTTGTGATCAGTGTAATTACGCTACTCACGATCATCATAACCATGGTATAATAAAAAATCCAGGAAGAAAGAGCTAACTTCACTTTATGCCAAATTAATGTCTTGTCCTGTCAAATATACCAAACGAGCTCCTGGGCATGGCTTGGTTTAGCATTACGTATTATATGGGTAAAGCTCGGGTAAAGCTCAAGGTTACTGTAATATACCAACCTTGGGTAAAGCTATGTTCATTTTGAAATTCATGCAATTCGGTTCATAACTGACGGAGATATAAAAAGGTCTTTCCGTATTTTTTTGGCCTACATTGCGAATTCACGACCGAAACATATATGTACAGCACAAATATAAATTGATTGGGGAAAATAACATCTTGTTTTATTAACAAATAACCCTTATTCACTTTCTTAATAATAAACTTTAAAATTTGCTTGTAATCCTATAGTTCGTTTCACCAATAATTTAACATTTCTCATTAGGTCGTTAAGTAGCGGGAATTCCCACTGCAACATTTAAAAGAATAGGACAATAGCCCCCATTTAACTAAAAGTCAGCGGTTCTCAATAAAATTTTAATGTTGCAAACGCCAAATTGTAGTGCTCGTATCATTATCATCATCAGGTGTTAAAAATATAAACGAAAACTAAGTAACTTTTGTAGAATTAACTTGCTGTATGCACTGTGAGCAACAATCTGGATACGTTGCGGTACTATTACCTTCTATAATCTGAGTACAATTTTTATCCTCCAATCGGGTGCATCTAAAATTAAACCGTTCATTATAGTAGTACTGTATCAAGCATGATTCAAATTGGAAAAGCGGTTAAATGGATACCTACCCCATGTACAAAATTCCCTTGTCACCACAAATTGCCTGCGTACAATCTTTCATTGGTCGAAATTCCCCCTTTTTCATGACTTCCATCTTAGGGTCAACACTGTGGCATTCGTCAACAGTTTCTAAAGCAATATGTGATTACAGAAGCAAGAAAAAGTATTCAACACCTTTTGTAAAATTAATGTATTCCAAAGCATACCAGCTGAACACTTTAGGAATTAAAACCACTAGAAGCGTCCACAGAAGTAGTAATTTCATAGTTTAATAATTTCGAACTCAAATTTATCAACAAATCGATGTTAATTTAGTGAATCTTTACAACTGGGTTAATAGAATGTTTGCTAATATGTTTGGAGGTCACCGCCGATAACGTTTGAAGATAAACATTGATTGATGCGAGAGTAACAGTAGGCTTACATCATCACGTCGGCGCCATGGTTATCATAGTACTATTACTTTCAATCACCTGCGTTGAGCAAGTGTCACAAACAAAAACGTCAATGTCACTACGACTTCAATGGAAGAGAAGGAACTGGCTACCACCCATCTGCCGCTCCCAGAACCGGCGAGAGTTCGATCCTCAAGAGTGATTCAACCCGCAACACTTCACAAAAGAATAATTCATCCGACTATAGAAATCACGGACGGATATAAAAACTACGGATATTGGCGCCATTGGCGTCCCGTCTTGAATAACGTTAATATAACCGTTTATGAAGGAGAAATGTACGTAGCAGAACAAAACAGAACGTTTTACTAACTCATTATGTAGATATACGCTTCTAGGGCCACAGTGCTGTGGAAAAAGTTCAATACTAAACATTATTTTAGGGTTTACAAAACTAACGGCGGGTAGTGTAAAGGTAACCGTGGGGAGAACACAAATAGTAATTTCAATTGCTTCATCGTAGGTATTTGGCTTTGATCCTGGACATGAACTAAGTGGAATACCAGGAATACGCGTTGGGTACATACCGAAATCTAGAGGTTTATACCAGAATTTCACTGTGAACGAAACTCTTCATTACTATGGCAGGCTGCTTGGTCTGGAAAAGGAATACATTGGAGAAAGAATTTACTTTTTAGTAAAGCTACTGAATCTGCCACCGAAAGAACAGCAATACATAAAATCCTATCCCGAAGGAGTTCAAAAGCAGATATCATTTGCCATTGCACTTCTTCACGAACCCGAGTTGCTTATTTTAGATGAGCCATGTGATGGTCTTGATCCAAAATTAACGCGCAGGTACGCTATTACTGTGCGCGCAAGTATCGGTGCACAGGTATAAGTTTAGGTCGTTACAGCATGTGGGAGCATATGAAACTTTTGTGCAGAGAAGACAAGACTATTCTTACAACAACTCAAACATGTGACGAGGCAAGATGGGCTGACAGACTAGGATTTATGAGAGACGGCCAAGTGTTACTAGAAGGTAACCCGAGAGAACTATTGACGAGGTTTAAGGAGAAAACACTAGAGCGCTTGTACTGTAGAACGTATATATCAGACCCCCAAAAGATCCGGGAGTTCGAACCAGAAGAGGATGCCCCCGTGGTGATTATTCCACGTAGCTCCTCGGCTGGTTTTCTGTACAGCGGGGAGGAAACAGTTGAACATATACGACAGTCAGTTCCTCGCGAACCAAGACCACGAATGCATGAACCTTTCAAGCAGATACGCGATTGCTACAAGAAACTTAAAAAGTGGCACGTGCTCCTTAAACGCGATTTTACGCTTGCGCTACGAAATTATGGCTGGCTGCTGCTGTTTTTAGTTGTACCCACTCTATTTCTGCTTTTATTTTGCACAGCCATAGGCACGGATCCGCATTCGTTACGTGTGGGTAGCGTTAATTACGAATGGAACAGTTTTCCATGTAATCAGTTCAAACTGGTCAGTTGTAAACTACTGACCTCTGTCGATCAGTATATCATCAACATCCGCCATTTCGATTCAGAGAAAGAAGCGTTTGACGCCGCAAAAAATTTGGACATATTGGCAATTTTGGTGATCAACAACACTTGTACAACGTACTTTGAGGAATTTATCGCGGACATGATGCTTGGCACGCAAAAGAAGATGCCTTATCCACCTATTGTCCTATATCTGGATACGACAAGCAAAATAATCTCCAGTACAATTGAATTTAGTATTTCTAGTGCTATAAAAAGTGTACTACTGAAAAGCTATAAGATGCAACGCGGAGATGATTTCAGTTTGGAACAATTTTTAATGGTAACTCTAGGGCGATCTGCTTATAGATTGTGTTGATTTCTGTTAGTAGATTGAAAATCCTATTTTTGGAGCAGCAAATACCCCCAATGTGGAACACATGGCACCAGGAATGGCACTTTCGTTTGTGTTCCACATAATTGCTTTTGTTATTGCTGTAAGACACGTTGTCTATAAACATGAATCAATTCCTTCCAGAAGTTACTTAGCAGGTAAGTAAACCTAAACTAAACTACGAATATACACATGCCTTCTAGGAATCAAACTGGTAGACGAAGTGTTTTCCTGCATGTTGGTGGGTGGATTATTTGCATTCATTCAAGCGCTTTTAATGTGTCTTATACTATACTCCATGTTTGAGATGACAATTATTGAAAATATTGGTAATGTCCTATTCATAATAATTTTACAAATCGTGTGTGGGATCTCGTTTGGTAGTATACTGAAATATAAGTTAATCTGCAGTGTAAATTACGATGCCTTTACAGGAATTTGTCTAGGAACTCTTTGCGACGCAACGGTAGCAGTAGGAGTGTGCGTAGTGGCGTCCTTTTTACTGACAATGATACTGGGTGGTAAGTGGAAAAGTACTTTTGCCAAATCTGATAAAATTATAATTTACAATTGTAACTGGGAATTAATTGCCTCTGCCGCCAAACGTCGACAAAACAATGGCCCATATGAATAAAAGTAAGCAAATGCAAAATTCAAAGTAGTAAATACTCGTAAGTGCTCCCTTCGCACTGGGCGACTTAGCAGCGCTGCTAAGCAGAAGGACAGGACGCAGTGCAGCGCCGCTAAAGAGACCAATATGAAGGGCAGTTACGAGTATTTACTTTGAATTTTGCAAGTATAAGCATTTGCTTACTTTTATTCATACGGGCCAATGAACCTGCAAATAACAGGGAAATACCTGGGTATGTGTGTCGACGCTAACCTCAACTGGAAATGCCACTGCCTGTGTTTAATCAAAAAACTTACCTGCTGTTGGCTAATTCGCTTTATCAAACAATTTATTGGGTTACATTATACGCTCTCCTACAACTATGCCGAGGTTCAGTCGAGATTGCGTAATGGGATTATTTTCTGGGCATCGTCTACATACGCATCAAAAGTGTTTATGGTGCAAAAGGGAATACTGGGCTGCTTGGTGGGTATTAAGAAATGGGAATCATGCAAAACCCACTTTATTCAGCTTGGTTTTCTCACTTCTCATTTTCGTACTTGAGGTTTTACTGTACATATACAAAAATCAACATAAGTTTGTGCGCAATGGGGACTTACACAATTACAACACAAGAAGGCAACGAGATTCCTCTGTACCGGTATCTAAACACATAGTACTAGCGGTATACCAAAAGTTATTGCATTTTGTACTGCTGTTCCTTGGAACCATTTAGACGATTTGGCCGGAAGAACACATGACATTTTCCGTGTGGGTAGATTTTAGAGGGGGTGGGGGTGATTAATTGTAAAATTTTTGAAAAAAACTAAATATAGCCTAGAGACGAGATCTGGGTGTCAATTTCGCATGATTTTAATCCGAGGAATCCAATGATGGCGCCATAAATGTATTCCGGATAGAAGAAGTCCATCAAAAGCCGCAATTTTTAGAAGATGGCAGACTTTTGGTCTGTCCCGCAGCGGGAGCTGTCCAGAGTAAGGGCTGCCTCCCATACCTGTGGCCGCTTGGACTACAGAATCTTTCATTATCTGACTTCAAGAGTCCATATCCATCCTTCAGAACTTGTAAAATTTCCCTTTACATGGTTTGCACAGCCCCAGATGTGACCAGCGACATACGCCATTCCCTTTATGTGGTCCTCCAATGCAGCGCGGGTTGGGGGAATTTTTTTTGTTTTTATTGATTAAATTCCATAAGCAATCAGAATTCTATGCTTATTATCTGTCATTATAAGGCGTGAGTAGAGGGACTCCCAGTGGAGTCAGCCCGCTATTGATCTACGAAATCTTTTGGCCATTTCTTCTTAAGGCGTCTGGGCGGAGGATCTTCTGCGAGAGGTGTCACGAGCTCGTTGGGGTGAAGTTCCAATGTTGTTTGATGCTTCGCAGTATATTGATTGATTATCTCAATCACGTAGGGAATATTTAGGTCCGAGTGAAGAGTTTGGTTGGATACATACCAAGGAGCGGCTGTGATAATACGGAGGGTTTTTGATTGGAAGCGTTGAATAATATGTCGACTTGCACAGCCCCATAACTGACAACCGTAGGTCCAAATGGGCCGAATTATACACTTGTATATCAGTACTTTGTTGGCTAGTATTAACGACGACTTCCGTCCGATGAGCCAATATAACTTTCTCAACTTTAAGTCCATTTCTTTGCGTTTTTTTGATAATGTGAGTTTTCCACGTCAACCTGCTGTCTAGATGGAGTCCCAAGTATATGACTTCCTTGGACTGAGGAATGGGTATATTATGGAGAGTGACAGTTGGGCAGATTTCGTGTCTGGTCATAAATGTAATGTGTGTCGATTTACTTTCATTCACTTTGATTCTCCACTTAATTAGCCACTGTTCTAATTCGTTTAAGTGGAACTGTAAAGAAGCTGATGCTGCGAACGGGTTTTCATTAACATGTAAGTATCGCTGTATCATCAGCAAATGTGCCAATTTTCGTTTGTTCTGTTGTAGGTAGGTCGTAGGTGTATAGGAGGTATAGTATAGGCCCTAGTATACTACCTTGGGGCACACTTGCATTGATGTCTTTGTTTGGGATATTTCCTTGCCATGCTTAACTTGAAATGTTCTATGAGTAAGATATGAACTTATTAGTAAGTAATACTCATGGGGTAGCGTTTTCTTAAGTTTGTAAAGTAATCCTCTATGCCACACTCTGTCAAAGGCCTGTCGTACATCCAGGAAGACAGCAGTACAAAAGTTTTTGTTTTGAAAAGCAGTTTGAATTATATTCGTTAAACGTGGCATTTTTGAATAGTTCAGTGCTGCGGTCTAAATCCAAATTGGTGGTTAGGCAGCCATGTCCCTTGCAGATTTTCATTAATACGTCGTTAAGATTAATTTCCAGACAGCTTGTAATTTGTTTCGGAGTTTATTGTTAAGTTGATTGAATTTCCTCTTATCTTCAACACTGTGTGTGCGGTGCCATTGTGCCCTTGCTTTTCTTTTCTCCTTTACAATTTCCATGATTTCGTTAGGAATATTGGGGCTATGGTTTTTTGGCTGGGGAGCGGGTCCAGCCCGCATTCTGTATCGTAGTTATGAAGTGGTTTGGAGCATGAAGTAAGACGCTTACTTTCTGAAGTAAACATTTGTTTTCGTTCCGCATTTATACCTGGACGTAACGCCTGAACAATATTCGCTGTGCTTGATTTTTTCCCAGTTAAATTTAAGGAAAAACAATGTTACTTCTGATTCTGTGCGCACGCTATACGGCTTTCCTGTGAATTCCTCCGCTTCCGTGTATACTGCAGTTGTAAAGAATTCGTCCCATGCTGCCCACACAGAACGCTAACCCTTGCCGCAAAAAATGATCCTTTACTACCGCCTTTAAGGAGATTTTCAAACTCCCAAGCTGAAATTAGTGTTACAGTATACGGGAACGCAGAAAAATTCACAGTAAAACTGTATGGTGTCCGCACAGAATCAGAGCTGAGATTGTTTTTCCTTCAAATTTCACTGAGAAAAAAAAACAAGCCTGGTATAATACACTTATTTTAGGCGTCACTTCCAGGTATAAATGCGGCAAGAAAACAGATGTTTGCGACATAGACTGCCATGTTCCCTGCGGCCCTGCATGCTAAAAATGTATGAGGGACGCAACAAAGAGTAAGGATATTGTATAGTTGCGATATAATTTACTACCGTACCTTTAATATTTACTCGTATATGTAAAATATATCTTCAGTGGTAATAGCGCAATCACAGAGGAAGGTCACTGACTATTTGGGGATCTTTCATAGCCTTATACATTTTGTACTTAACGCCATAATTTCTGTTTTTGATTTGTTATTTGTATTTTTATTAAATAAAATTTTATTATAAATTTATACCGGGTGAATATTCTAAAATCGTCAATCGAACATAGAGAATTAACATGGGAAAAAGGTTTGTTGTCGTTTGTCCCCATGTTAACTTAGAGCGTTTATAATGACACCGATCTGTCATCTAATAATAGGTATACGAATTCGTTAATAAACCCCCTAAGTTAACATGGGGAGCAACAATTGGCAAAAAAACCTTTTTCCCATGTTAATTCCCTAAGTTCGGTTTTGGAATATTCACCCGGTATATTAAAACTTTGGAATATCTTGGCAGTTATCTATGCAGTTATAAAATAATTACCAGTTGCAAGTGTAAATTAGTCCAATTCAGAAGCTTTGACCAAGAAAGACATGTTCAAGTAATTTGTTGTTATGAATAATTTCTAATTAATAATAAAATAATTACAACAATAAAATTATACCAAAAATTATTACAAATATGTATGTATACTTTCCGCAGGGATTCAGTGGCCAGTTGAAGCGCTTCCACTATGGCTATACATCGTTGGCTGTTTCCTGCCTTGCACCAAGAGCATCGAAGCATTACAAACTGTTATTCAAAGAAACACCCACATAAGCAACTATAACGTTTGGATGGGCCTCTTTGTCCCATTCTGTTGGATCATTGTATTTACCATAATTTATACAATTAAACATCGAATTTTTTAAACGAATATTTAGTGTTAACCTTTTAGTCATTTATAGCACTAGCGGTGATAATTATGTAATGTTTCTATATGATCTCGAATTTAAACTTAACTTAAATAATTTAAATATGTAGTCATCTCAATAGTTTCAATACTTTTATAAGTTTATTTTTTCACCCCGGTGCTTTTGAAATGTGTTAAATTCAACTTTCAACTTTTAATGTAATAATTCAACCCTCCGGTTGGTTGTCTTAACAAGGCTTGATAATAATTCGTTTTGAAACTTAGGACAACCTTTCCGGTTTAACCACCCTTCAGGTTTTTTCACTTGGCTTCGGCCAGTTAATAATTAAAAAACAACATGTTCGTCTTATTCGTCTTCAACGTTTGTAACTTACCGTTTTCCTGTTAAATTTCACATCGCCTGATGATGGCAGTACGCCGAAACTATAGTCGCTTTTATTTTTAAAAACTTCAAGGAATAAAAACTATATGGGGAAGGTTTAGAGAGTTTTGATCACACAATATATGTAATGTATTAGAAATAATACTTGAAATTCATACCTTATCAATGAGTCTTCCCGAATAGGGCTACTTATTGAAACAAGTATCGTGCTCAATACCTACTTACCATGGAATCATTCATCTACCAATACATATTTTATTCCGTTTAGGTTATTGAACTAATCAATAAAGATGTACGAACAAAATTTAATAATAGGGCGAACATCTCTGAAGAGAAATAGTAATTCCAAGTAGGGAACTGACCTGACCTTTTCACCGTTTTCGAATGAACTGTTGAACGTTAGTTACTATTGATTATGGAAATGTATATAAATATTTTAGCAAACTTTTTACTTCGTTTACAAGCATGCGCTTATTTCATACCGGTCTAGATATCGACTGCTAATATTAATTATTTAATGTTGTAAAAAATGAAAGACTTAGTTGTATCGCGCCCTTCTTAGCATACGTATCGCTCACTCACCAAGTCCAACCATGAAAGGACTGTGGATAACGTTGGGGATTTTTCTAAGTATCATTGCTATATTTATCTTTATTAAGCTGTACCTAGTTCTTACGACGGGTTGGGACAGAAGTCCCACTTGTCTAGTGGGGAAGACGGTCTTGGTAACCGGCGCCAATACCGGTAAGCCTTACCCATTAACATTGATACTAAGTTTAGAGTTTCAGGAATTGGTTTCTACACCGCCCAAGATTTCGCGAAAAGAGGAGCCAGGGTTATTCTAGCATGTCGCGACTTATACAGAGGGGAGGAGGCTAAAACCAAAATAGTTGAGGCAACAGGAAATTCGAACGTCGTGGTGCGTACCGTTGATTTATCCTCGCTTTCGTCCGTACGGAAATTTGCGGTTGAAATGAAAGCATCGGAAAACAGACTGGATATTTTAGTCAATAATGCCGGTACAGGTCTCTTTGAGCACACCTATACGCAAGACGGCCTAAGCTTATCAATGCAAGTGAATCACTTTGGCCCTTTCCTTCTTACAATTTTACTATTGGGTAAGAACTAACTTGTCACGATTCCTAAATCGTCGCCTTTCTGTAGGTCTATTAAAAATATCTTCTCCAAGTCGTATTGTAATGGTTTCATCTGAAGCGTCTCGAATTGCCAAGTTAAACGTGGCCGACTTAAATGCTGCTCCTAAACGGTATTTTACGCGAACCGTAGAGTACGCCAACACAAAACTGTGCAATTTACTCTTTGCCAACGAGCTGTCTGTAAAACTTAAGGGAACTGGAGTTGATGTTAATTCGGTACATCCAGGTGCTGTTAAAAGCGACTTCTTGAGGCACATCTCCCCGTGGAAACAACGTGCATCCAAAGTTCTCATGCAATTCTTTTATAAGGTAGGCGTGCCTCTTTCCAGCTTTTTCTAAACTAGATCGTAGAGTACAGAAGCTGGAGCCCAAACATCAATTTACGTTGCCGTGTCGAAGGACGTACTCGGCGTTTCAGGTGCTTATTTCGCCGATTGCAAGAAAGCAAAAATGCCTTCATCCGCTACGAATGTACATTTAGCAAAGCAACTCTGGGAAAAATGCGAAGAGTGTGTGAAATTAACGACCGAAGAAAAACAAATACTCCATCAATAACCTCTCTTGGTGTACAGTAGTTTTCAGTAACAAAACACATGTTTTCGACGTAACCATCGGAAGCGGTTTTTCTAAAAATTCAATCAATTAATCTTTATTTGTCTATAATATAAGTAGGTTTAGCACGTAATAGATACATTAAGAGAAAACATATATGTAGATTCAATATCATTAATACCCATCAGCAAGGTTTTATGAAGAATCGATCAACCGACACCGCTTTATGTGAGTATCTAGCTGAAGCTGCAAGGGCTGTAGATCGCCGGTTTTCAACGGCCGGCTTATTCGTGGATTTTTCTTCGGCTTTCGATACTGTTTGTCATAACAGGCTGATTGCCATAATGTGTCATTATGGTATCAGAGGCACTATCCTGCAATGGTTTCAATCGTACTTGAAGGATAGATCACAGTTGGTTGAATTGCCTAACGGGCAACGCGGTGTAGCTACGCCCATTCTATCAGGAGTTCCGCAGGGATCAATACTGGGACCGACCTTATTTATACTTTATAGTAACGACCTCATACCACATTTAAAAGGATGTGATGCCGATATTTTAGATACATCCTATGCCGATGATACGAATATATTAATTAAGGCAAATAGTGTAGTACATTTAAAACAAAAAATAAATATAACGCTAGACCGAATACATTAATGATTTAATAATTAATCCGAGCAAACCACTGTGCTTTCTTTCGGTAGAACAAAAATTGAATTTGAGAGTATCAAGTGTTCGGACAGTACCAGGATGCTCGGTTTAACAATAAGCCAGGACTTCAGTTGATTTTGGCACATCGACAATATTTACAAACTGTTACGAGGCTGTTGTTATACATTGAATGTATTAAAACAATTATGCAGTAAATCTGCTTTGCTTGCTGTGTATTACTCGAACTTTCACTCACACATCCGATACAACATCTCCAGTTGGGGTGGCAGTGCTCATGTGCAACGTATATTACTACTGCAAAAAAGAGTCATAAGAATAATTTACTCTTTACCACCTAAAACTTTTTGTAGACCGCTATTTAAAGAATTAGGCATACTAACAGTAGTAGCTACGTATATTTTGGAGATTTGTTGCTATGCGTATAAAAAAGAGCATGTTTTGAAAAAACTCAAGATAGGTACAATACCCGTCATAGGACGTTATTGAACCCTGGTCAACATAGGACAGCGCTGTTTCAAAAAAATTTGTTATTTCGTGCCTGCCAAATTTTTAACGCTTTACCCTGTAATATTAAAGAACTCAAGTCCTATCAAAGATTTAAGCAAACACTTAAAGTGTTTTTCCTTAAACAGACTAATTACCTTTTAAGTGTTTTTTATTACTTCTATATATTGTTCCCCATTTGTTTATGTCTAAAAATTTTATATATTTGCATGTCCATGTTTAGATTTTAATGTGTTTTTTATTATTTGTAACCATGTGACACATTTTTGCGTACGTGTTGTTTTGTGAACGTACTGGCAACAAATTAAAAATAAATAAATAAATAAATAAATAAATAAATAAATAAATAAATAAATAAATAAATAAATAAATAAATAAATAAATAAATAAATAAATAAATAAATAGATAAAATAGAATAATGCATAATTACCAACAGTTTAAAATTGTAAATAAATAAAAGCTAGACAAACCATGTAGCTCAATGTGAATAATGTAAATTACAGACGGTTTATTATATTTTTGAAAAAATTGAGAAACATATTAGATTATAACAGTATACAAATTAAATACAGTTATAAAAACAAGTACAGGTAGGTGAGTAAATAGTACAATCAGGTACACGAAAATTTTTTATTTACCAAGATAATATATTTTTAATTATTTATTCATTCATTCATTCATTTCATTTTATTTATTGTGGTAAGTAATTTGATAATTACGAAGAATTGGCCTAACACATTTCGCCCTCATTCGCTTTTCGCCCGTGGCGATTGCCCATTTCGCCTTATGGTTAATCCGGCCCTGACTATGTCATAGTGCAAACCAACGTACAATAAGACAAGGTATGCCTATGCGCATATGTTTGTGACGTCGTTGGATAACTGAGCTCTACCACTTAATAAAGTAATGCGGTTTGTGTAGTCCTACCACTTGATAAAAGTATATCGCCTTTACGGATTTGATAAGATCTGTTCAACTTATGTCAACCGCGTCAAGTTTTTTACTGACAAAGTATCAATTATTACATGTTATCGATAGTTAAAATAAAAATAAGTAAAAATAGTATCCGCGTTTCCAAATAGGGATTAAACCTCTAGCGGCAATAAAAAGAACTTAAAAGTCTGATTACATTTCTAAAATAGTATAGTAAGTGGCACATATAAGTTCTCCGTTGTTTATTGATCATTATTACACCCTAATTGCAATGGCACCTCTAATGCAAGTATGAATCGTATGCCATTTTTAAACTTGGCGGTGAAAAATAAGTAACGGAGATAAAGTAAAATGCAAAATCGTATAAAACACTTCGAGATGATTCCCTCTAACGAAACTTCTCAAGGTCTTCACAATTACATTTCCATTATAGCACTGTGATTTGAGGTATTATCTCGTCGTATTCACATGATCAAATAAAGATTACAAATCATTTTGTTGTTGACCGTACATCTGGCCACACCTTTCTTTTATCGCGGAGTGAAAATATAAGAGTTCCTAAAACAGTTTTGAAAATGTTTTACTATTCGATTCTGTTCATAGCTGTGTTGTTTTTATTAAAAAGGTATCTTCAAAGTGCGGTAAGATGGAACAACTGTCAAACCACTTTAGTTGGGGAAACTGTTATAGTTACGGGCGCTAATATTGGTACTTAATTATTACATTACATATATCGTATTTTAATCTAATCTAACATAATATATTCACAGGACTGTCCTCTCATAATCACCTTTTACCTTAATGAAATGGAAAATAGTTTGATAAATTTTATAATAATTATTAGTAAATCGTGAGAATGGAATTTGATAGGGCAGTCCTCTATCCTACTCTCTAGTTTAATTCCAAAAATTGCTAAAGCTATGTAACGAAATGTATATGTATATCAAAAGTTAACTACTAATTCCGACATTATGGTACATTAAAAATTTTCACTTTTTACGTGTACACCTAAAAATTACCAATTTAGACGTAGAAAATTAAGATACATGTGCCATCCAAGAAACTCGGACGCTGGGTGTGCATATTTCACACCTGCACAGTATATCGCATTGTCAAGCAGATTTAAAAGCCTATGAATCTTTGATATTTAAATGTAGGAGTTCAACATCTCTCTGAAATTGATTTGTTTAAATAAGTGAGTTTCATCTAACATTAGTTTAGTGTGGAGACACATTTTAAGTAAATGTTCTATTGATTTACTTTAAATGTGTCTGTTTCATGAGCCAGAGTATTATTGATAGATGGCTCTGTAAACATCAGTCACAATTTTCTTTTTCTACAACTGTCAAAAAAACGTCTTTTCTCACGAATTTCGAAGCACAAAGATTTCTACCGTAAAAACTAATAAGTAAGGTTGCCCTTGACAACGCGCGCGAAAACGTCAGCAGTGAAAAAAATAACTATTTTTGGCCGCCGAATTAATCAATTGTAGCATTGTGTATATTTATAATCAGTTCGGCCAAAAAAGTGTGGTACAGGACATCATGAAACTAGTCATAACAGATGTCGCGTGAAACGAATTTGATATGCGCAATGCAAATCGTTTATTTGGGAAAAATATATAATCTATAGCGGGCCTACGCTACCTGTTCTAGGGAACCTTTGTATTATCCTACCTGCAACAAACAAGGTCGTGCCCTGACAGTCGTTTAAAAGTAATTGTAGAGTAATGCGAAAGCTATTTACGGTTTTTCTTGAGTATAATCTTTCCTAATTAGACGGTTGTGTTTATTTCTACACAATACAGCATGGAAGCCTGGTCAATAACGTTACTAGTGATTTTATGCATAGTGATAGCAGTTTTATGTGTGAAATATTACAATGCAGTTACAATAGGATGGAACCACAGTCCAACTTGTTTAGTTGGCAAAACTGTTGTGATTACTGGAGCAAACATTGGTATGTTTTACAGTTTATCATTTTGTACTACTTATTGCTGCGAATAAAATTTACTGATTCGGCCACGATACACTTACACCGGTATGCTAGCAGAGGAACGAAAACTCGCCGACTGCGCGCATGACGTCAGCTGGGCCACTTTTCTGGCGGGAACGTGTATTCTAACTAGGAAAATATAATAATTTTGATGTTCGCGGGGCGTTTAAATAGGTGGTAGTCAAGTTAACTAATGCATAATTTAAAAAGGAATACATTAACACAAACACAAAGATAATACGTATCTTTGATTAACAATAAACATTTTACAAAAAAGAAATTAACTATAATTATACGCAAAAGCAAATGTTGAAACCATTTCATTTAAACTTGTATTGATTACTACATCCTTGTCTATGGATATGCTATAATTACAACGTTTGTTATGTCATTTACCATCGCAAATAATTTAGGTAACTCGCATTAAATACATTAAGAAGACTAAGAAGACCTTAATTTTATCACACTTTACCATTGTACAACGTATTCATTTGTACTGCATTATAATTTTTTCACTACTAGCGTCTGATGGCATGATTATTAACCCTTTTTATAATAATAATAATAATGTTTATTAGACCATTAGACCATGTAACATGATATTGATCAAGTCAATGACAGAGGTTGTGTAAAATATCACTAAATAATTTAAATAAAATATAACATGCATAATTGTATTACTAACGATACCAAATGTAATTAAGTACACGAATCTGACAAATACTCTTCCACTGAATAGTAACACTGGGACAATAAAAAATGCATTACCTGAAACTTAAATTGTTTATGTCGGGTTTCAGACTTGAGACGTTCTGGGAGTTTGTTAAAAAGTAATGAGCCCATATATCTCGGATTATTTTCTGACATACTTAGTCTATGCGCAGGAATGCAGAAATCCTTACCACGCCGTGTATTGTAACTGTGATTATAGTTATTAACAGAAAACTCCTTTGGATTTTCTTTTACAAACATCAGAATTTCTAGAATATATATAGCAGGAACAGGTAATAGTCCAAGTTGTCTAAATATATTTCTGCATGATGTTCTCTTCTTTACTCCCACTATAGATCTCACTACTTGCTTTTGAATTAGGAAAATCCTATGAGTTAAGTTAGATCTCCCCCAAAATAGAATACCATATTTAACTTTGCTGTAGAAATGCGCATAGTAAAAACTTAACAGCACTTTGTCACTACTAAAAGATTTTAATTTAAATATTGCATAGGCACTTGACGCTAAACTTTTGGATAAACTGTCTATATGGGTATTCCATTTCAAATTACTATCAAGATAGATGCCTAAGAATTTGGTACATTTCTCTTGAGGAATTGATTTCCTGCTTGTTTTAACTAACAGAGATTCCTTCCTTATGATCTCACGCAGATTGAAATTTATAATTAATGATTTACTAGCATTGAGAACTAACTTATTACTATTGATCCATTGAACGACACTATTTACTGAAGACTGTGCGTTCTCGACTACCTCACTCATACTATCCCCAGAAAAAAGATAACTAGTGTCATCCGCAAACATAACAATATTATCACCACACTTGGATGTAATTGCACCAGGTAGATCGTTTATATAGTATATGAATAGTAAGGGACCCAGAACAGAACCCTGTGGTACTCCAGCTATAAGTTCCGATTTTAAGGACCTTACGTTATTAACTTGTACAATTTGGTTCCTATTACAGAGATACGAACTTAACCACTTATGTATAATTCCGCGAAAACCGTAATATTGTAATTTCTGTAGTAGTATGGTATGATGCACCAAGTCAAAAGCTTTGCTAAAGTCTAAAAACATTCCCATACATTTCTTTCCCTTATCCAAATTGTTTCCACTTGTAAAGAGGCTTTCTCGGCATTTGTTCAAAGTGGTTAATATGTGGACATTATTAACTGGTAGTCAATAATGAGAACTGTCACGCTGTCACTTTTAGAAAACACAACCCGAAATTTCGCCCAATAAACGTTTAGACAAGTTCTCTAAAATGAATAATTGCCACCATCCGCCATTTCCAGAGAAATTGCATACCTAAAATTATCGCATTTTGAAAAAATTCGAACGAAAATTACTCTTTGAAAATATTTCAATGAACAAAATACGGCCTGTTTGACTTACACTTCAACGCACTTGATTGACATGTTAAATTATTAATTAATAAATAAAAAAATAGTAATTATCCCACGGTAGAGTAGTCTATTATTGCCTTCGCACCTTACGCCTCTCGGCGCAAGTGCCTCGAGATAATCTTGGTGCTCAGGCAATAATACTGTACTTCTCTACCTTGATATATAATGTACTATTATTGCTACTTCATTTTATTTACCTACTCAGTGGCGCAAGCAGGAATTTTTAATGAATTGAAAACTAATACGGTTGATTGGCGTAAATAAAATTTTTCTACAAAAAACCTTAATACATTTTTGCTCTAAAATAATTTGGGGAGTCAATAATCGCATGTTACATATTTTGTATTCTTATAACAGTTGCGTGGAAATCAGGACCTAAAATTATGATTACAGAACTTTACTTTTTTCTTACACAACTTACACTTTTTTTCAGGAATTGGATTTTACACAGCCTTGGATTTTGCAAAACGAGGTGCTCGGGTAATATTGGCATGCAGAAATAAGTCCAAGGCAGAAAAGGCACAAGCAAAAATAATCGAAGAAACTGGGAATGCAAACGTTATAGTAAGGATCGTTGACTTGTCGTCCTTAAATTCAGTGAGGCAATTTGCCAAAGAAATAAATGAAACCGAAGAGAGATTAGATGTACTGGTGAATAACGCCGGTATTGGCTGCATTGATCACTCGTATACTGCCGACGGGTTAAGTTTAACAATGCAAAGTAATCACTTCGGCCCGTTCTTGTTGACAATATTACTTATAGGTGAGAGAAACTTACATTTCAAGTATGGCTTATCTTTAAATTTTAAGATTTAATGAAAAGATCTTCACCAAGTCGAATAGTCGTCGTATCATCCGACCTAGCCACGATAGGAAGAATAAACATAAACGATTTGAACAGTCCGGTTGGAACGATATTTGCAAAAGCCCTCGATTATTCCAATACCAAACTTTGTAATCTGCTATTTACAGTGGAGTTAGCAAAGAAATTGAAAAATACCGGAATTACTGTGAATGCTGTGCATCCCGGAGCGGTTCAAACAGATTTTCTGAAGGAAACTAAATCAATTTGGCAGAAAATGCTGAAGTTAAATATGACTTTATTTTATAGGGTTAGTATCTCACTATTTCATCAAAACTAATTATTTCTTTGCAGTCAACAGAAGCAGGTGCACAGACGTCTATTTATGCTGCAACGTCGAAGGACATTGAGGGAATTACCGGTTGTTATTTCAAGGACTGTAAGAGAGTTTCAATGCCAAGATCTGCACAGAATGTAGAGTTGGCTAGGAAGGTTTGGGAAGAAAGTGAACAGTTTGTAAAACTCAGTTTCGAAGAGAAGAAATGTTTCCAATTGTAATGTAATATAACTCTTAGATATATAATATAACTCTTACAATATCTTAGTGATATCAACGACGATGATTAAATGTAGTGAATTCCCTTATTCTGTATTTTTTTGGCAAAATTTGAAGCTGTACTCTACATCTCCATTACAGTCATGTCATTCTCACCAGTGAAAGAAGCAGGGGACCTAAGCGCTCTTTGTAGTAAACATACCATCTTGTGGTGCTGCACCTGTTGGGTGGATAATGCCATTGGTTGGGCTAATCAATTATCGTCTTATGAGGAATTTTAACCATAAAAATCGCATTAGTAAACACCATAATTGACATATTTGCACTAAAAATTCGTTGCACTCTTTTCAAAGAGTCTAAGACACTTATGACCCCGATTTTTCCTTCCACACTGTTATTTCAACAATATGCTCACGTAGCCACATCAGTTTTATTTTCCGGTGAGCTGATGAATAAATTAAATTGCAAACGATATTCGAAGTCGATTTTTGATACAAGATTGTTAAAGCTTCAACCTGAATACAAAGGCGTTAAAATATTTCACGTAGTATTATTTATTCATAACATTTCACAATGACATTTTGAATTTAAAAAAAATACGAAGACTCTAAAGGCGTATGCGACTGTGAACTCCAAAGTGGTACTCATTTCTTCTGGAGTCATGGCCCACATCCACCATAAACCTAAAAAAATAAACAGCTTAAGATTTAGTTGTCATGTCATTTATAGTATTTTACATTATTAGCCAGGTAAGTGAGTTTTTACTGGCGACAGGAGAAGTTGACTGGCGAGCCGCTAGGCGAGCCTGTCATCTGCTAGAGCCAGTAAAGTATATTATTCCATGAGCATGTAATGGTGGCTATTACTCATAAGAATGTGTTTGCGGCACGAGCCGAAGGCGACTGCCGTAATTCTTTCGAATGAGTAATAGCCATTACATGCGAATAGAATACTATACTTTTTCTACGAATATTTGGCAAAATTTAATGAAAATATTCAAACTTGACGTTTGTTACCAAACCAATTGCAGTTGAGTTATTTTATAAATATTTAAAGTTGGTCATACTGTGACAGTGTGACAATTGAGATGATATCAGAGATGTCAAAAGGTTGTCAAGCTTTCGTTTCTCATTTCTTAAAATTTGATCGTTTAAATTGTGGGTTTATTGCTATATCGCCTAAACATTGAATAATGCGGGTACTACCAAAACTATGACAAAATAACAGGCATGTGCGACTTACGAAGTAACAGAATTTGTACGAATACTTAACCTCACTTCCTATTTTTACACTTTGAAGATCCAAATCCAAACCAAACCGTTATTCGCTGCGGATGCATTTCCCTTTCCTGAATGAAATGGGGATTTTCTGATTGTCTTTTCTACTTGAATGAAAAACTCGTAACTGTATACCCATATATCTACGAAACCATAAACATTTCAAATGCTAAAATTTGTCCAAAATAGGAGTTAAGGTCCTATGCTTGTTTTTCTTTCCCGTTATGTCGAATAATCAAGGAACTCTACTATAAGACTTTTCTTGGGAATGTTTTATAACAGAATTAGCAGGGAACTGAGTATCAGAAATTTCAGGTTGATTTTGTGTGGTATAGTCGTATTGTCTCTAACGTTAACTTTCGCTGGAGTTGGTTCCTTTTCAAAAAGGTAAACCTTGCGGATGCGAATTAATAAGACAAGCTTCCTTGAAGCGAACTGACCGCACATTCTTGAGAAAAGGGATGCTGAAACCGCATTTTAAAACATTTGTCATTCCAAAATTAAAATTAAGGAATTGACATACACGTTTATTAAATTGTGCTGCGCTGGAGCCAAATTGATTTCGTGTTGCCTCAAATATAAAAACGCTTACCTCCACGATGTTAGAATTGTTGGTACCAGTTGAAGTACGGAATTGTAGGTACGTCGCACGCCAACGTATATAGATTTCAACAAAATAATGGCCATCCTACATACATTATCTATTAGAGAAATAGCTTGCATCTTGATGGTCACTTTTCACTTAAAATACGAACGAGCGGCCGAACAAACAAACGATGAAAAATAAAAAAACAACTGAAATATAATAGGTAGATTGTTATTCATAAACAACAACAAATGCTGCACATAACGTTATGTTGGATCACAGTTTTTAATACGCGCGATCAATAATGAGTTGCTGCACCGCTTCAATGAATTATGACGTTAGTAATCATTTGCCGCAACAGGCGTGGTGCACCAATACTAAAACATAACCTTAAAATTCAAAACAAAGTAAACTTTTAACGTTCCATATGTAATCTAAATCAACGATTTAACCACCTTGTAAGTTTCCAAATTATGTGAAACTACACGAATAGGAAACACAAATATGGAAACGATTTTATTTCTTTTACAACTCGTTAATATTGAAGTAATTAGGTAAATTACATGCACACTGTAAATCATTGAGTTAGAAAACTAATGGAGGGAATCAAATGCTTGGCCAGACGTAGACCACGGGAACCAAAAGTGGCCTCTAACTGTGATTAAAGTACCACACCACTTCCGTTATCATTAGCGTCTCACTTCAGTGGCGTAGAGATATAATTTTCTTTCCACTAATAGGAATAATAACAAAAAAAACGTATAGAAGGAGTAAAATACATGTTCGTGGTAAAGTAAACAAAATAGACAAGGATGGGAAAGTATGCAGATTTAATATAATCATTGATTACAAATCTAAATATACATTGATGTGTTCCATTAGTATAATTAAGGCCAGTTTACTATAGCCACTACAACTTGACAACTCCCATTAAATTCACTGTGTTGATCAATAGCTACAATTGATTGGTTGGTCTCAGGTTCATTACAAGTTTTGATAGTACCTACCTACTGCATATTTGACGAGATATTTGATGAACATTTTCCGGTGCAACCTTTGGTCGAAATCATAGTCAATGAAGCGTTGTGAGCACAAAAGTAAATTTCGAGAGCTGTTCTTGAGATATATTTACAAATGTTAGGTAACCATTTTGCTCGAAGTACCGGTTCGTTTGGAAAACTAAGAAACATAAACTAGGTACCTACAACCTCGCCTACAACATGATAAATGACATGTCTTACCGATGAAAGGAAATGCCCTGTTTCTTCCCTTTATGAGAAATTTTGCATGATACGCAGCTAATCATTCTCAATTCACAAAATTGCGTGTGATAAAAACACTATGAGGCAGTTAGTTATTTATATAAACCAGAGCACAAACCGATCCGAAATTATTAGGTACTTTAAAATGGCAAATTTAATAAAATTTGAATTTGGTGGAAAACTGACAGTGACAGGACCCGCGTTTTCATATGTCAAATAATGTCGGCAAAAATGTACCTTCACGGGAACCTATCCACGCGAGTGGCCTCTATCTGTGGCAACTTCCGTCTACAAAAATTCTTACCCCCTCTTCCATTATATTCCCTCCATTAGTTTTCTAACTCAATGCTGTAAATACTGTTCGAAGGGCTCGCTACCATTATTAAGACAGGGATCCACTCTTCTTCATGTTTTCAAAGACGGCATGCAACTGCTGTTGCGTAATGTTTCAAACGGTAGCTTCTTATACCCGCTCGTAATTCGGCAATGGTGTGTAAACTGTTTCGAATACGTTACCATCTCGTAAATTTGCATGCAATAATTTTGACGACTTTGCAAGTACGGACGAAGAGTTCTTATAACACGTAGTTACTTTAAGGTTCTGCATACGCCAGTTATGACAAGTGAGTCCGCTCAGATGTAGGAAAAAAAAAAGGCTAACGTGTTTCATTCCTCCGGCACCCCTGACTACAGGGATACCGGAGGCGGGCTGCTCAGGGCTTCCTGGCCCTCTTCAGCCAGACAACCAACCAATATAACATAATGTAAATATAAATATAATGAAACAATATAAATAAAAATAAAATTATCTACAGATATAGGTACTAACATGCCATAATATAACTACGGAAAGCGTTTTCTTTTTATTTTGATAACGAGATGTAGTCACTTAAGCCATAAAATGTATATTGTAGTAAAAACTGTTTGAGTTTTAACCTAAACTGTCTAAAGGTAGGGATATTTTTAATTGCGTCTGGTAGTACATTATAGTATATTAAGATACAAGTGTATAATCAAGTCTTTAAAGCACGCGCAACGAGTTTAAGGGCACGACGCAAAGCGGAGTGCCTTTAACGTTGCAAGTGCTTAAAGACCAATTATACACGTGTATCTTATAGTATTTTTTATTATACCTGCAGTATAATTTAAAAATAGGAAATACAATGAAGTCATATTGACGTTATACCTTAGACCATATAGTACATGGACTGCTAATTGTAACTAAAATATGGTCAAGGACATCGCCTGGGTATGTGAGTTTCAGGGTAAACGAGTCTGTTCGAAGTTGTCCGATGAGACACGATTTGAGACTGTCAACCTATAAATTCACAAACGTCAATTAATTAATCGCCTAGATATCCCAAAAAAAGCAAACTTATTCTTATTTGTGAACGTATAGCAAATAATGAAGAGTATATAAAAGCTTCCCGTACTACGCGGTTACTAGAAAGCTGCTCTTTACGCGATCCGAGTGGTGTTCATACGACCTTAGTTTACCCTGAGATTCACATCCCCACGACTACAGTGCCCTCTATCCGTGACCACCCATTTTGTATTGAAAGCATAGGGCTAATAGCAGTCCATGTACTATATGGTCTAAG